CAGATCCTGCGAGGACCCGGAGCCCCTGCCGGGACCCGGTCCGAAGCAGCCGCCCGGAGACGGATGGATGGCAGGGTCTGTGCGCGGGGGAAAGTCACCGGACGTGGGCAAGGACGCCCTGCGGCTCTCCGTGCAAGTTGCACGGGGCCCGGGGAAAGAAAGCTGCAGGTTTCCACGGCGGGCAGAGCGGTGCCTCCCCGCCCCGGGGAGCCCGCCAGGTGCCCGGCTGGATGCCCGGGGTGTCGGCAAGGGAGCCTCCGCCTAATTGCTGGATGCATTGAGCTCTGTCTGGACTGCGGGGTGCAGAGCATCTGGCAGATACAGGGAAGATGTCGGCTTGTTTCGTAGCTGCAGGTAGTTCATTGAAATTTCATTCATTCTTTGTGGAGCCCAAAGAAGAGTGCCAGCCGACGAGCGGCAGGAAAGAAGAGTTTAGGAGGGGAAGAAAGTGGCCACATTTGCAAAATACTAAAACCTTGGCTTTGAAGGCTCCAATCTTCGTGCTCTGGGAGACTTTTATTTCTAATGCAAACATTGCGCGCACACACACCGTGCGAGCCGCACATGTCACCGCACTTGGGGAGCTCGCCCGGACGACGGGTGAGAGCCCCTCGATTTGAGCCCGGGGGATGGAAGAGGGAGCGCACTGCCTATCCGAACTGTCATTTGCCGGCGTTCCAGCGTCCCCAGTTTCCTTCACTTCCCTCACTGGGTGCGCGGGCAGCGGGGAGCCCGGCGGCCTCACAGTAGCCACCCCGGAAAGGAACCGGGCATGTGCAGCACCTCAGGCTGCTGCCGCGCAACCGGGACGCTATCTCCGCGGGCCCTGATCCCGGGCCAGAGGTCCCGGCGCCCTGCGCACACGTGGACGCCGCCGAGGTCGCCGCTCCTCCTGCGTCCTGTGCCCAGCGCCCGCCACCTTTAGGGCGTCCCGGCCGATCCCCGGGGGAGAGAGGGCACCTTCACAAAAGGACTCTGGAGCAAACTCGTGGGGGCCACGCACCTCACTGGCTTTTCTGCGGGGTTGTTGACTGTTCTGGCAGTTTTGAGCCGGGGGTCGCCGTTCTGGCGCGGCGCCGGGAAGTTGCCCAGAGCGTGGGCTTGGAGCCCGGGAGCGGCACCCCGGCGTGGCGGGGCGCCGGAGGGCAAGGGAGGCGATTTGGGGGACACCCTACCCAAATCTCGCGCCTTGTCTGGGGCACGGCCCCTGAGGGGGGGCGGGGGCTGCCCCTGGAGAAGTTGCACCTTCATCTTTGGGACCCAGCAGTTGCGCAGCCAGGGACACTTACACGCCCCTACTCCCAAACACACACACGCATCCTTTCTCTTTTTCTTTCCTTCTTGCCGTTTTTGAAAGTAGGAAGTCGGGGAGGAGCGGGGGCAGGCCAGGAGGAGGCCGGGCGGAGGTCTGGGCCCCAGGTCCGGGCTGGCCCCGCGGGGCGGTGCCTCGCACGCTGCCTGCGGCTCCCAGGTAGCGGAGGAGAGGGCTGGCGGCCGGGAGGGGTGGGAGCCTGCAGCTTCCCGGGGCGGTGGGGGTGGTGGAGAAGCACGGCTGTGGGCCCAGAGCCGTTTCTTGCAGGGCGAGCTTCAACTCAGCAGAGATTAGTAACCAGGTCAGCGAAGAGTCTCAACATCTTTTCCAGAATCACAGGAACAGCCACAAGGC